AAGAAAATGAATTTTACATCCTTCTTATGTTCAAATCCTGTATTGGGTCAATTAAGAATAATGCAATTAAAATTAGTATCAATCTCATTGTAATGTAATTCACGTCTAAACTTATAGCATGATTATCCTTCGCCAGCTTAGGCATTATATATCATTAGAGTTCATTATTTCAATACATGTGTCCTGTTAAGGAAAAAAAAAGTTTTGCAATCAGAAAGAATCTTAAGCTGACCAGATTTAGACGCAGACCCAGCACTCAGGGTTTCTTTATCTTGCACATACCAGAAGAAATCTTCCTATTATAAATTTACATACTAATTCTATTGACAAACTATACCTGCTTAGCAACAATAAGTGAAGGTATCCACCAAAACAACAGAAAAAAAAAGTTAAATCATTATCACACAATCCACCAATTAAAAATAAAAGTATTTAACAAACCAAATAATGTTTCTTTCTCCCTGCGGGTTATTTTACTGTATAGTAATCTAAAAGGACTAAAAAATCCCGTAGGTATTATATACACTTCACCATTATAAGAGGCTTAACTGTATTTATTTGATTTGCTGACTCCAGCTGTGCTGATGAGCCTTAAACAGGCGAAACTGCAGTCCATAGCAAATGGTACGGCCAATCAAGGAATGCATTAGGCCTCTACGTCACAGATTCTCTTTTCAATTTTACCTTCGGTGAAAATGAAAGGAAATCTATAACATATATATATATATATGTATATTAAGATTTTTTTTTCGGTTTTCAACATGTATAGTTAATTCTACTAAGGCTAATATTACTTAAGGTAGATCCAACAAGAACTGCGTGAAATTATCACGCTGTATACATTCCCACAGATAACCACAACATAGAAGCCAATGTACACAGATTTATACAAGTCTGTGACTGCAATATCTACACCATGATATAATTCGCCAACTTAAATACATTTCTGACTAATTTTCCACACCGTGACAATATTTGTCAATCTAAACACACATGTGACTGTAATTTCCACACCACGACAAAATTCGCCAAATAAGAGAAATCCGTGACTGTAATATCCACTCTACACCACAATATTCGCCGATTGAAACACGTGTGTAACTAATTTCAACATCATGACAACATTTACCAACTTAAATCCGTTTGTGACTTTAATTTCCACACCATAACAAAATTCGCTAATTTAAACAAGTCTGTGATTAACTTCCACACCGTGACAATATTTACCAACTTAAGCACGTCTGAAACTGCAATGTCTACACCTTGATATAATTCAACTTAAACATGTCTGTGATTATAACTCACACAATAATATTCACCAATTAAAACATATATGTGGTTGTAATATGCATACCAGTACTTGTTCACAGAAATAACCACAGTTTACTTGCATTTAATTATAGCAATAATCATAATATGTATACCAATAGCCATTTAAAATATATCTGATCGTATTATATACAGCAACACCTACACCACTCTAAACACATCCACAGATCTCGACAACAATGTGTGTATAAACCGATATTAATCCACTTAAACACATACATCTGAAACACACCAATATTCTCTCACTTCAGTCATCGGTAACTCCAATATTCACATCAATATTAACTATTTAATGACTGCAGTGCACATTATTATATGCCATTTATGAATAACCGTAAAATTGAGCACTGTTCCTATCAATTAAAATAATTATGCCTGCAATAAAACATCCATTGTATGTAATCCACTACGCCGTTAAAACTCTTGCAGGGAGCTTTCACTGCAATTACCCTTGGTAGAGAGAACGTTAATAAACATAACAAAATTGAGTCAGTTGTGTATATCATTAAAAAAATTCTACCACTTTTTGAACTGTGATAACTTTCTAAAAATATATTACACAAACGACAAATGTATTTTTAAATATTTAACAAACAAACTAATGCTTCTTGGTTGTGTTTTTTAGTATGTATACAATTTCAATACATTAAACAACTTACAGCGTCTATTGTCTATAGTTTTGTCTTGTGTTATCACCAAACTGTCATAACGAAACGTCTTGTCAAGTTGAAGTATTGGTGCCAATGCTGGAATGACCCATGTGTTCAAATAGATACTTATTGGTGAGCATACTGTTGTTCTATGTGAATGTATTGATATAGAAGTTTTGTCCGTGTTGTATCTACTTTAGTAGACAGAACTGTGTATAAGTATTTTAATCACATATTTTTGCTGCTTCAGCTCGATACTGTTATCGTAAAGTTATTTTTGGTTAAGGCGGATTAATGCTTTGTTTAAAATAATTTATGTTTTATACAACTGTCACATCAAACAGGGTCGAAACGGATAACCGGAAAATCTCTGTTTCAGAGAGATCATTCAAATTTGAGGGTGGACATCATCTACTTCTTTCATACTTGTCAAGATCTTAGACCTCCTGGAACTACACTCTTAAAAAACAGGAGGTAGTATTTTTTTACAAAGAAAAATCCACATGTGTATGTGCATGCATTGGCTTCACTATAACTCCGGGCGTTTCTTGTTCTTCCCTGCCGCCCCTTGTTGCTTGACATGACACCCTTCCCGCATCTGACAGCCATTTTAGGATATTTAGTAAAGGCAAATGTAGCTGCCCGTAGAGCAAATCGAAAGGCTAGCAATTTCCAGGGGGGGCAGCAATTATTGTGTGTTGGGCCGCTGTCACTGGCATTATCAGCCATGGCGCCGGTCGACGAACCTCTCCTTCACGGACTGATGAGTTGCGATTCCCCGAGCATTCTCTGGCCGGTCGGCCTGTTGTTGACGTTACTGCCAAAGCCAAATTGTTGCCTCTTCATGGTCATAATTAGATTTGTCCACTTGTCCAGGTTTACACGATAGTTCAATTCTGTAATCTTATACCGATCTTCTAAAACTTGAAACGTTTGTGAAGTTCAGGTTGCACTCAAATAATTAGCTGATAACACATAGGTTATTTCTTTAATGTTTTTAATTTTCTCCCGCTCGTCATACACAACCGAATGAATAATTCAATGCCATAGCTTTAAGGAACACATTTTCTTGTATAATATTGAAAAAAAAATTTATGTTATAAAATATAGGAATATATTCAAGTGAATTAAAAAACGGAAAGTCTAATTAACACACAAGGTTTCAGTGCAAGTAAAGATTGTAACGTATACTGCAAGCTACATGATGTGGAAAACTGGACTAAATCCAAAAAAAAAAAAACTGTTAAAAGAGAATACAAGTAAATTTGAAAACAAAGCAAATATTTGATCATAACACGTTAAAAGTTTCTTTCATTGAGATATTACCACAGAATATTTAGATAACGTAATAATTGAAAATAAAATAAAGACTGTGGAAAAATTACAACACAAATTTAATCGAACACTTTTTGAAATGTCTGTTAAAGTGTGAAACTTAAACAGTTTTAACGCACTTTAATTATGAAATCTACTTCTTGAAACTTTTAACTGCATAGTCCATTCATGCCGTTAATTACATATATACATATATAAGTATATGATTTTTTTACCAAAATGAATATTTATAATTATGCAAAACAATTTATGTGCAAAAGTATAAAACGTTTTGGTATCTTTTATAATCTTGTAAATCTCTTACTTTCTAAAACAACCTGTCATAACGTAAAATGTCATTGTAACGTTTTGTTTCTTCGGTTATTGATGTCTTAACTGACTCTTCTGGATTTAAAAAAAAAGAGATTAAATCTCTTAACTAATTTTTAGTTCCCCATTTAGCTTTAATGTTAGTTTCATTAAAATTATTAGTCAAAATGTTAAATATGTACAACATATTGACTTTTTATTAATTTTAAATTATAATATATATATATTGTTATTGGGAATATTTTACACTATTACTTAGTATGTTGATTTAAGTCTAACGTAAGTCTCCTCAGTTGGCCGATAACAGTAAGGATACCTAATTAACGAATCAATGCACTTTAATCATTCTAACTGTTTTATGACATTTCAGACACCTGGTTATCCCACTATATTAAATTAGCAATATTCGTATCTGGGATAAATTTTAGTTCTGATCTACTAAGTAGTTCACTTTGACCAGAAGTTAATTATAATTGTTGGACTTAATCTGTATGTATATTGGTATATACTTAAATGTGTCATAACGCAGTTAGGTGGTGTATTCTCAACGTCTTATATTTAAAATAAACATTACAGAGATACTATATTTTGTGTAGCTTGTCTCTCTGCTTTTGTGTTATATATACATGGTCACTGCGCTAGAGAAAAGGTGTGGTTTCACACTTAAGAAGTAATCAAAGTGATTTGTGTTCGTATTAGTTGATACCATGTTTGCTCCGAATAATCCCTCCTTAAACCTTTAATCAGCACTATCTTGTAAGCGGATTCCATATTAGTTATAAGTCACACATAGTAATTTTGAAGTGGTCTAAATACGCCACAAGCCAGAATATAATTTAATCTATACGCAGTTTGCCGTAGGTTTATACTTATGGCTAATAAATAACTGTTTTGATTCAACTAAATACCACACACCATTTTTACCTACGAACAAAGATATAAGATGGTCTGTGCCAATTGAAGAAAAACGTTTTACTGCATTTGATGCAAAAACTAGGAACTTATAAGCGAATTTATCAAATTTATTTTAACTTTCAGGCTCAATAATTCCACAAAAGTCATGCACAACTATGGGCTAAGGAAGGCATGTTTTTTCTTTAACATAAAAGTTTTTGAAAACTTGTAAAGTCGACAGCCATAAACAATTGAAGAATACTGATATGAAAATGTGTGATACACAGAAAGAGTGAGAGTGGACGGAAGAATGTAGGAAAATAACAAAGCAGGGATATATGCAAAGATTAATAAGTTATTTAAAAATAATAACAGTAAAGAAATCATGAGAAAATAAGAATAAAACAAGATAGTACTACAAAGAAATGTTGTTAAGAATTAGAGTTAAACAAATTGTTCATATTCTATCTTCACACAATTTACTGGATAACTACCATACATGTACAGTCAGCCTCTTGATCTCCCGTCATTTTGATGTTTGATAAAACCTAATTGTAGAGGTCGCCAGTGTCAGGAATACAGTGCCTAAAGTGCAGCTGTGATTGGTCGTGGAGAACACCCTCAGAACTTCAAAGGAGCGGCACACTTCAATTAGTCACAGCGAGGGGCGGGTCCACCTGACATCAACTTGGAGTTTACCCCGGTGACTTATTCAGTGAAGAGAGCGTTACGCATGAGAACACCAGAATCGAACCCCCCAACGTTGCTAGTAGGTTACTTCACCAAGTTACAAAAACTGTCCAACAGAAGAAATTCACTTTCCAATATATTTTTGTTTTATTTTTTTCATTAGAAGCCATCTCTAAGCCTGAACGTTTGGTGTTGAAATTGATCGTAAAGATTAATGGTTCAAGAAGTCTGTCGGTGCTCAGGAATCAGTCCGTGGACTGAGGGCACAAGCATCGAGTTTACTGAACCAACTGGACAGGACAACGAGCAGTCTTACTCAATAATGGCCAGCACAATTATTGGGGTAAGTGGCAAAAGAAAGAAATCCACCTAGAAGCTAATGAAAATGTTTTAAATTGGAATATTTTTCAGAGTTTGTCTCATTTAACAAAATGTTCATTTCCAAAACATGTCAAGAAAGACTTAAATGAATAATACGATAAAGAATATGTATACATGTATATAAAACTACAATTCCAGGCAGTCTAAGCTGGAAAGATAAACTGATAAATAAATAATATTAGGTATATTTGGAAATAATCATAATAACTTTCTTGGATTATACTGTTTAACTTACGTGAATGTTGCATGATGTGATCCGATGACATTTAATAGTAGAAAAAATATCGTTTTGCATATGAAGAAATTTCAAGAAGGATTTTCGTGGAGAGATGGTTGGAGATAGCAAAAACAAAGCCAGTAAAGAAAACTGATTGTGAAAAAATAACTTTCATAATTATGGGTTGGTTTGAGGTTTAATTGTTGTGTGTTATAACCCATAGACAGTACTTGGACTTTAAGTCCTTTTGTAATGTGATTTGTTATCATCAAAATGTGTTTGAAGCCTTTAGAGTTTTAGAAGTTAACTAGAGTGGAAAATATAGCGACCCAAAATAGCCTGAGGTGATCCAATTGGAATTCAAAAATAATTATAAAAAGTTGAACATAATTTGTCTGTACGCATATTACATACACATCTATCTCATTTTAATACTTGGGTGTTATTGAGGATATTTCTACGACCATACTTAACCTTTATAACAGAAAATAGTTTCCCTTCAACATCATTATACTTAAAGTAACTGATTGGATACAGGCAAGATAAAGACTACTGAGACACTATTAGAATTATAAGACTAAAGAGTTATGTTGCTCTGCTACTGTGTCTTTTTGAATTTATTTATATTGTTATGAAATCTTGTATTTCAGTATTATCCTCTTAGTTTGAATGAGTGCGATGTAGCATAGAAAATTGGCGCTTTTGTTTGCGTTTCAGCAACGGGTTCCGTTTTTTTATTTTGGTTGGGTAATTTGGCATAGGTTAACAAGTATACTCTGCTCTTTCTGAACATTCCTAATTTAAGTATATGAGTAATAATTAGGAAGGGTTTTGTAATTATAATATTAACTACTTAATTTCTTACTGTGAAGAATAATTACTTTATCGATAACATCATGATGCAGAAAAATCTCTGTGTTAACTACATATAAAAATGGATAGGATTCAATATAGTATTTAACCACCCCGAGGGTCCAGAGATAAGTTTACGGTCTTAAAATGCTAAAATCCAGTGTTCGATTCCCGTTAGGGGACTGAGCATAGAGAGCCTATTGTACAGCTTTGCTCTAAAACGAATAAATACACAAACGATATAGTATTATGTATCCAGACACAAATATCTTCAAATTTTCGCCAACATTAAAAATACTTTTAGTTTGTTCAAAGAGAACTAACTCTAGAAAGCTCAGCCTATTCCTTTCTTGTTTTTGTATTTTTCTGGGAGCTCGGTTTCATACGGAAAATCGTTGTCCTCTTTAATAATAGCAATTGTGAATTTTATACATGGGAACAAATGTTAATTGTTTGTATTTGCACTTTTTGACGGTAGGTTAGCCTATAGTGAGTTTTTTTTATAAATAAAAAATGTGTTATATGATATTATATGAGGATCTTCGGCTAAAACAATTGAACTTCATGGAAGTGAAAGTATTTTTCTAATCATTGTCCAGTTTCTTTCTTTTCTTTTGTTGTATGTTAGTCGCATAAAGACTTGATTATTCCAGTATACGTATAGGACAACTCCATGTCGTTAGACTTAATTACTCGACGTGCCTCAAGTGCGTCTGTCGCTAGATATAATCATATAACACATCAACATAATATTCTGCGTATCTCTAGGTTTGGTTACTCAGTACACCTGAAGCACACCATGAGCCCTTGAACTTCATAACATAGCACACTCCAAGTACACTAAATATTGCCGCAGGTAGTCACATAACACACTTTGACTAAACCACACATCGCTAGACACGGTCCTCTAACGCACTTGTTGCTTGCTGTTTGACTGCTGTTAGACCTGTGATCCGTTTGTTTTGTTGTTAAGTAAAAAGCTACACAATGAAATAGCTGTGTTGTGCTCACCACAGGTATCAAAACCCAGTTTTTAGTGATACAAGTCTCCAGACTTTCCGCTTAGCTACTGGGGGAGGTTTTTTTTTATCAGCATCTAATCGTTACTCTGTTTCGAAAGTCTCACTTGCCTTTTCTTTGGGTATCAGTCCATTAGAGTTTTATGTACTCTTTAATTTTTATTTACCTGAAATGATCATGAAATAAGTAAACTTGACGGTATTTCCTGGACGATTGAAAGTGTTGGGTAGTGCAAAAGGCTTTTGTTGACTATTTAGATACTAGGCCTAGCTGAACAAAGTTTATTATGGGTTATATTAACGTTAAGCAGTTAACACAAGCTTAAGCACTGTGTGTCATAGAACTAGGCTTCATAAACGTTCCCACACTTCTCTCCTTGTAACCTTGTTTGTTATAGAGACTAAGTCAGAAGTGCAAACAGATTAGCTTTTACAATATTGTTCTTGTCCTTCAGAAGTCATGTGTTGAAAGAAGTAGTTCTTATGCAAAGTATTTACACGGTAGAGTACATCATGTTTCCATAAGGTATTGAGGTACTAGTTTTTGAAAAACCGAACGACATTTAGACTAAGTAATTATACTAGTACTGATATTTTGTTCTTAATTCATGACTTCAGGATAAATTATTATATACATTAATAATGTTTTTATCTATTTTTAGCTATTATTATATTATAATCTGATATTCATTATAGTTCAATTATTCAGAATAATTGTTAAAGCCATCCACTGATATTTTGGCTGTTCAATGGTTATATAATACGCAGTCCAGCCAAATTTCTCAGTGAAATAGTTTATTTCAGTTTAATTAGTGTGTATTGTTTGTATTTGGTCTCAAACTATTAGTTGTGTACCGTATGTACAAAGCAAGCCCGTGCCCCCGCTGGCTAAGAATGGTCACCAAATTTTGATTATTTATTCAAACTAATGTACAGTCAGAATAACCTTCCCCATTCGACTATGTTTTCAAAATTTCATGGTTACTTGGTCAATACTGAGATTATCATAGAGTTTAGAGACTTACTCTAGGGAAATAGTGAAAACACCAAAAATTACTGTTTTTAGGAACTTGCTACCAAAATATACCATCTAAACTATTTTCATATTTCTGTTTCCTGATATGTTGATAAAGTCATTTTAGTGCTTTATGCTTGTTTGCTAACATAAGACTGCATTTCGGCTACGGGTCTACAAAGTGATATTAATGGTAATATATATAATACTAATAATGTAGGTTTAGTTTCACAGTGACTGGTGAGTTTTATACAATATGCCTTGCTCTGTAGTTTCGCCTAGAGATTAGGACTTACCTTATAGAGTTATCATTGTTGAGGTACATATTGTTATATTGCAATGTATTTTAGGAGCCATAGACCTTGATATCATTTGTATATTTAGCCTTTCATAATACAAAAAAATGTTTTTTTGTTTTACGGTGTCAAATATCTCGATTTCATGTGCGCAGTTAGCTAGCCATTATTGAAAACACACTTGTTTTATAAATCAGTCTTTTTACGGATCACAGAGCTTGGGTGATTAACAATAAAAATATCCAATATAACAACAGTTTGAAATTTTAATAGCAACATCAATATCTGGATATGTTAGACAAAATTTTACCAAAAGCTCAGCTTGATCCCTTAGAGAATAACTGGACCGATCAAAATATTTCTACACCACTCAGAGCAGGGTTAAGTGCTACAGAACTGACGCAATTTCTTGGGGCATTTTTTCTTTTTCTTTTACATTTATACACAGACATTTCAGTGAGATCAAAGAGCTCAAGGCTGCGTATAATATGCCTGATGTTGGGTTTGATGTTTACAAAAGTGAAATGTACTATGTTGTACTTACATGATGCGTGAATGGTGGCCGCCTAGGCGGATTGATCAATTTGTCCACTGTACAAATTCTTCTCTAATTAAACCAGTAATCTCCAGATTTTATTTTTGTATTGCGTAAACAGTCTTTTCAAACTGTTCATTACATTATTCAGAGTTTGATAAGACTTAATCTAAGCTTGTTTAATTTCGAGTTTTATTTTTGTCTGTAATTATGATGAATACTAGTAGAATGTGTCGAAATTCGACAAAATATATAGATTTGTAGTATTTCACTCAATTCGCATTCTATATAGCCACACAAAATCGAATATTTGACCACTAAGATATGCTTTTTTCTAAAAGTTCTTTTAAAACTAAAAAACCGTTTCCGGCAATGTTGATACTGTCAGTAATCACCCCCACCTTCATGTTTACAGGAGAATTTTAAAACATACCTTCTTCAAAAGTTTGAATTAGTCATCCATGTTTTTGCACTTAACAGAATCCACGGAACACAACAAAGTATTGAATTTGTAAATAAAGTCTTAAAACATTGCACAGCTAATCTATTCGAAACGCAAATAAAACCAGAACATGTTCAAACACATTGATTACACCTGCATTTTCTTTAACATGTATAAATGTAAAATATTTTTATTAGCATAAAATGACATGAACAATACTCTGAAAATTGGCCTTTAAAAATCATTTTGATGATACAGCATTACATGAAAATTGTGAAGTTAAAAATTCTGTACTAGAAAAATGTTTTTGCTAAACTTTAACAACATGTACACACACAGAAATTAATAAACATCTATAAAAGTCGCTCTTTGTAGGTCTTACACCTATAGGTATAATTGTTTTTAACAGAGGCGTCGCTAAGTGCTTAAAAGATTCGGGGTGGAAATTTTCGGCGTTTCAGTATGATATCGATCATGGTTTTCTATTTTGATTTTTCAAGACGTCAAATGAGGATTCGGGGCACTGTCAAACAGAATCGGGACACGGGCCCCGTTTGCCAGTGCCTAGCGACTCCTCTGGTTTTTA